TATTTTTTTTTTTTTTTTTTTTTTTTTTTTTTAAAGAAAGAAAGCAAGCCCAGAACCCAAAAGATGCCCCCCTCAGCTAAAGAGAAAACTTCACAAAAACCCTGCCTGGGAGGAGGAGGGTTCCTCTGAGACTGCACAGGCCTAGGTTTGCAGGGAGGGATGTGGAGTCGGCACAGGGCAGGGTCTTCTCAGAATCCTGTCCACAAGCTGTTGGTCCAGAAAGGCTGGAACAATTCACATGACCTGTGTGACTGGGAGAAACGCAAGCCAGGAATTTAAGGCAACCCTAGTTGGTAGTGGCCTCAGGTACCCAACAGAAGCCAGCTCAGATTCTCTGGAAGAACACATCGAACCCCAGGCCTCAAGCCTCCCAGTAAAGCTCTAAGACTCACAGGGCCACAATCCAGGAACAGTTGGAGAAACAGCAATGTGATGAGAATCGGTAGAAGCTAGAAACCAGTCAGACTTGGAAAGACTGATTATCAGATGAACAAGATAGGAGTATGTTTGAAGAACCAAAATAAGGAAATCAAAATTCAACCGAGGATCAAGAAACTTAAGAAGTGACCGAGTAGATTGGAACAACTGAAACGGCTGTTAGGAAACATTTTGATTTCTGTAGCTTTCGTACTTCATGCTTTTGCCCTGTTTCTGCAGCTCTTATCCTTTGCCTCTTGCTCCTTGGCCAGTGCCTGTCTCCGCAGCCCCTTTCCCTGCACCCTCTCCAAGTGGTCCTTCCCCCTCCCTCAGCCCGCAGGACTATTTGCCCTTGGCAACGCTTTCTGTCCTGGTTTTCCTTGTTCTCCCGCTGACGTTCAGCCTTTCCTCCAGTTCTATGACCACTGCATACCCAACAGCAATCCCTTTGCTTTTTGTTCCAAGTCTTGCTCTGATTCCTTTTCTAACTCTGGGATCAAAATTTATGCTAGTAAAGTGAGTTACCACTAGAAATTATGGTAGCTATGGGGCCTTAGTCATCCCTATTTCATCCCTACACTAAGGGATGCAGGTGAATTTGTTGGCAGCTTATGCAATTCTTTGACCAAAAGAACCATGTGTTATTTACCTTCACAAGGTTCAAATCTGCCAGTGAATCAGATGGTTTCAAAGCCATGGGCAGTCTGGTGTTTCCTCCCACTCCTTTAAAGCTGGTTCCACTGTATTTTAATAAGCAGTATCGAGCCCAGCTGGTGTGGCTCAGTGGTTGACCTATGAACCAGGAGGTCATGGTTTGATTCCGGTCAGAGCACATGTCCGGGTTGTGGACTTGCTCCCCAGTAGGAGGCATGCAGGAGGCAGCCAATGATTCTCATTGATGTTTCTATCTATCTCCCTCCCTCTCTGACATCAATAAAAATTTAAGAAAGTAATAAGCAGGTATCAAGTGCCCAGTGTCCCACTGCCACTGCTCCAGGGGCTTGAGAGTTGCAGGTCCACATGGGAGCAGTGGGAAGCATTCAAAATCAAGTTCCATAAAGAAAAGCAATCTTCCTGCACATTCCCTGAGGACTATTGAAGTGATCAGACTCTCTAGGTTCGGAAAAAATAAATTAATCACAAATCCTTTTCTCAGTGGCAAATTTGTCAAGAGGGGAAATAATTACCTCACTGGAGGCTCACCTTGGTTCTCTTGAACTCAAGCTGTTTCAGCCTTGGATCGGCAGGATGTTGCGAGAGCCGGGCAATTTCCTAGAATGATCAGCTCTCACAATATTTATACACACGACAGACTCACTTGCCTTAAAAAGCAAATACGAGTGGATTATAGCAAAATGTATAAGGCCTTTCTGAAAAATCATAGCAGGACCAAATACCAGGTTGAGAAGTCAAGCCCCACTCTTTCACAGCTACTGCATAGTTTCTGTGCAGGAGTTAGTTTAATTTCAGGGCCAAATCCTATTCTTTTGTGTCTTGGTTTTGTTTTTGGTTTTTTTTGGTGAAGGTGGTTTTTCCTAAGAAAGGGCGTGCAATTTAGAGCCTTCTGATCTGTGTGGTGAACTTGAATCAGCCCTTCAGTTTGGGGAAGAGCCGGTATCAGGAATTTGATAAGGTCATGGGGCCCGTGAGTACCTGTGTGGTTGAAGTGGGCCTTTTTTCTTTTCTGGGAGACTTGGGTTCAGATTTTCTCTCTGTCACTTTACCGTGTAGTCTCAGGCACACTGGTCTATCCTTTTATACTTTTTTCAAATATATACAAAAGTCAATAATATAACAGAAACTGGTTGCTAGGGGTTCGGGGACAGGAGAATGAGGAGTGACTGCTAAGGAGTATGGTGTTTCTTTTGGGGGTGATGTTCTGAAATTGGATAGAGGTGGTGGTTTAAACAACTGTGAATATACAAAAAATATATATATATATATACTGAATTGTACTCTCTTAAAGGGTGAATTTTGTGGTATGTGAATTATCTATAATAATAAAAGAATAATATGCTAATTAGACTGGGCATATTCCAGGCATCCTTCCTGATGAAGCCGGAGCCTGAGGGAAGCCAGCAGGATCCTGGGTGCTTGCAGGTGGTTTGGGGGAAGTCAGCCCAGGTCCCGGTGCCTACCAGCAGCCAAAGGAGGGAAGCCCAGGTCTTGGGTGCCAGAGGGAAGCCGGTGCTAGCAGCTGGGGGAAGAAATTTTCGTGCATCAGGCCTCTAGTATCTTACCAAAGCTGTTATTTTTTTAATATACTTTATTGATTTTTTACAAAGAAGAAGGGAGAGGGATAGAGAGTTAGAAATTTCGATGAGAGAGAAACATGAATCAGCTGTCTCCTGCACACCACCTACTGGGGATGTGCCCAAAACCAGGAACATGCCCCTGACCGGAATAGAATCTGGGACCCTTCAATCCACAAATCGATGCTCTATCCACTAAGCCAAACCGGTTAGAGCTAAAGCTGTTATTTTAATTGAATGTCAACAGTATAGAAGAATGAATCTCCATATACCCACCACTCAGAATCCCCAGTTTTCAGCTCATTGCCATTCTTGTTTTATCTATACCTCTATTCACTTCTTTGGATTATTTTGAAGCCAATTTCAGAAGTATTTTATCTGTATTTCAATATATATCTCAAAGATAAGGCCTTTTTAAACAGAATTTCTTGCCTCATTACGCCTTGAAATAGTAACATTAATTACCTAATATCACATATCTAGTACCAGTGTTCAAATTTTCTTATAAATAGTTTTGAATAGAACCCAAATAAGGCCCATTCATTGCAAGTTGAGTGTCTTTTAAGTCTATTAAGCTTCAGATTCCACCTCTGTTTTGTTTTTCCTCCTCTGCAGTTTATTAAAGAAACCAGTTTGGATTTTTTTGCCAAATCTCTCTTACTGTCTCCCCAAGTATGAGGGATGTGTGACTTTTGTTCTAAAAAATAGTGAGTTGTAGATAAGAGACATTTGGACTGAGCCCCTCCACTCTGGAATTTTCCCCCATGTGTCGGGAAGCATTGAGTTGAGGATTCATGGATTCCCACCAGAAACCTGAACCTCCCTCCACATTGGCTCGAGGGCTCAGCTGCCTCTTCCTCCTCAATGCTGCCTGTGCACCCAGCACAGCGCCTGCCAGAGCCAGAAGGAAGCAGGGACGAAGACATACCAACATTTAATCCAACACATCGGATGCCCTTTGTCCTACAAGTGTCACCAGCCATGCGAATTGCCGTGTGATATTACGCTATTCTAACACTGTCTTATCAGTAAGACGAATAGGATCAAAGAAGTTCCACTAGTCCCACTGTCATAACCTCAGCCACTGTCATGGCTCACTGCTCTTTCAGATGAGTCTGCTTGTTGTCCTTAAATGGAACTTGCTAATTCCATCATATTTTTTCTGGTTTGCATGTTCATGGTGGCCCAGCCAGGCACAAGCTCTGCCTCTAAACAGACCTGCCCACCTGGCTTCTCACCTCGCCTTCCTCCTGAAGCCTTTCTGAAATGACTCCCCCTTCTCCCATCTCTGCCCCTCCACCCACCCCCACGTCAGCCTGCCTGTGGACACCCCCTCCCTCCATTCTGTAGGGTCATTGTTCGTTCCTTGTTGTCAGCTCCCGTCAGCAATACATCAGTTACTTGGTCCAGGAAGTTAGCTTCCAACCATGATAACAATTTAAAATATGGGTTGTCTCAGCCAGAAGTCAGCCCGCTATTTTCGTGGCAGCTCCTTCCGGGCACTCAGACTTGTGGGGACTACACACGAGACAAGCAGCCCGCAAGCCAGTGAGTGCTGTCATCGCAGAAAGAGAGCAAAGAAGGCTTATTGGAGGTGGAAGGATGGGCTGGTGAGACTTAAGAGACAATATAATTCTATTGCTATGGGCTCAGCATAGCCAGGTGCAGCCAGCATCCAGGAAATGTGACCATCGAATGTTGGGTGCAGAGACCAGAAGGTGGGCATAAGGTCAGGGTGGGAAAAAGGGGTGCTGAGTGGGGAGGACAGCGGGGACAAGGTCCTTCAGGGCAGTCCCCTGGCTTGTTTTCTTTTGGCCATCACAGAACAGTGTTGGGGGCAGGGAGGAGGAACACTGACAAATCTCAAAGTTGGGCTCGTGGCCTCTAACCTCAGAAAGAGCTTGGTCTGCGTGGTGTGGGCCGATCCACGGTGTTTGCTGGATGAGAATGCTGTGCGCTCATACTCCGAGCTTTTCAAAGTAGGAACTTCCACCTACAAAGCAGAAGAGTGTTGGTGGGTTTTTTTCTTTTGTGGTTTCACACAGCAAATATATGACAATCTCTGCTTATAAGCGACGTGAGACGTCAGGCACTGAGGACCGAGGGTGGCCAGGATTTCTGGTCCTGCCTCCAGCCCTTTCCTCTTACTTGTACCTGCTTTCCAGAAAGGGAGCCTGCTGGGAGAGTCTTCTTGACAACTTCCACAGAAGTTGTCAGCTCCACAGAATTCCGTTTCTGAGAACCTGCCCGGAGCATGCAGTGACACTGCATAACCCTCCTCCAGAGCGGGCGGTGTTAGCCGTGGCGCTCAGAGCGGCTGTTTCACCGGACATGAGAGGAGCGAGCGGCATGGATGGGGCGCCCAAGGTGAGTGATGGGGGCCTTCTGAACGGCCAGGGGGCAAACAAATGGCAGCGACTGGTGTTTGTTCTGAGTTTTTAATGAAACCACAGAGTGTGCTAGTGGCAGTAAGTTTGTGAGGGGAAGATTTTGTGTTGGTTTAAGTGTGGAAGGTGCTTCAAGCTTCTTACCAATTGGACTCGGATAAAGCTGTTATTTTAATTGAAAGAAACCAGGTTGATAACACAGTCTACCCCTTTGTGTCTATTCACCTTCTAACAAACTTCTTGAACAAGTGAGACCTCAGCTCACCCCCACCTCTCCTTTCTCTGGACCCTGAGCACATTCACTGTCACTCCCCAGTGTCCTGAGGACCCTGTGTTCCTGCCCCAGACCTGGGCAGCCACCTGGGTGCTCCCCCGTTCCCTTCATGTTACCTTTGGTATTGATCTGTGAGAGCCGAGCTCCAGGCTGGGACTTGAATCAAAAAAAGTCACTATTTCGGGAATAGGACTGGCTACAAAAAAATAAACTTGCTTAGACACAAGGAAAGTGAAGCTCAACGGTTACTTTGCTATACCTTTAAAAAATATAAATAGAACAGGAAAATAAGGAAATGGAACACTAAGTGGAGAGTCGTCTTATATGAATTAAATATATGTTACTTATTCTAATAACTAGGTGTCATTAGTGGAATATATAGCTGAATAACTCATGACATCGTAATGAGGTCCTGTGTAAATATCTTAGCTAGAATATTGTACACAACTATTTTCTTTGAAAATTTTTTAACCATTGGGAAAATGGGGAAAATAATAATTTAGTAAACCCCTGTGTATCCTTTACTGAGATTCACCGATTCCAGCATTAGTTTATATTAAAGGCCCAGTGCATGAAATTCATGCATGGGTAGGGTCCCTAGCTGCTACTGGCTGCCAACCGGGGCCTCCCCCAACTGCCAGCTGCCAGCCGTGCCACCCTCTGTGGTCAGTGCATGTCATAGCAAGCGAGCAATCAAACTCTGGGTCAGTCGGTTGAACTCCTGAGGGGACACTTTTATGTTAGGCTTTTATATATGTAGATGTTTAGATATTGGCACACACTGTCACTGTCAACCATTTGAAAACAAATTGCACATATAATGACACTTCCCCACATCTGCTGAAAACGTTCTCCTACACAGCTCCATTATCAGTGTCACATCCAAGGCAAATTATCATCAAATTAATGACGCCATCCTAACTTTCAGTCCATATTCATATTTTCCAAAAAATACCCTTTTGGGCTGTTTTGGCTGTTATTTGTTTCTGTGTTTGTTTTCCCAAGATCACATGCTGTGTTGCTTGTCAGTTCTCTGTCATCCTTAAGAACAACCCACTGCTTTTTATTTTTCTCATAACATCAATTTTTTTACTATCCCAGATGTTTTATGATTTAGATTTCTTATGTGCCACCTATTCTGCCTAGCTAATCTCTATAGCACTTTGTAATTTGTAATTAACATGCATGTGTGCATATAACATTTTTGATGCTCCCAGCATCCCCATAAAGTCCTATTGTGAATAGTATAGAGATAGTAGTAGCTGTTACTTTCTGGCTGTCCATCCACCAGGCCTGCTGCACGTTCCATTACATCCTCACATCTTCAGGAAGCGGAGGTGTTATTCTTCACCCCATTTACAGACAAGGGAAGTAGGGTTCATTCTCTTGCCAAATGAGTGAATGCAGGGAGTCAGACCAGGCAGACTGAACCCAGAACTCAGCTCTTAACCAACTCACTCTCTCCTGACCCTCAGACCAGCAGCTGGCAAACTTTCCCTAATGGCCCAGGTGGTATTTTATGCTTTGTGGGCCACCTACAATCTCTGTTGCATTTAATTCTTTGTTTTCACAACAAACACTTTAAAAATATAACTCATTCTCCACCCTCAGCTCAGTCTTCTGGGTTTGATCGACAGGTCGTAGTGGCCAACCCGTGTCTTTCTTAGATGCATGACGTGACAGCTCACGCCAGCGACTCCACCCAATGGTAGAGTCTTTTTTTAAAAAAATATAGTTCATTGATTTTTTACAGAGAAGAAGGGAGAGGGATAGAGAGTTAGAAACATCAATGAGAGAGAATCATCAATCAGCTGCCTCTTGCACACCCCCTACTGGGGATGTGCCTGCAACCAAGGTACATGCCCTTGAGTGAATTGAACCTGGGACCTTTCAGTCCCCAGGCTGACCCTCTATCCCCTGAGCCAAACCGGTTTTGGCGGTAGAGTCTTGATCCTAGTCCAGGACCCCCTCAGGGAATGGTTTCCTTGGAGCACCTGCACAACTGTCCAAGCATGGAGAAGATAATATGTGTCTAAAAGCTTTACACAGACACGAGCAGTTACTGAAAAGGGTTGAGCTTCTTGCCTTTTGCAATGAAAAGTGCATGTTAGAGTTCCATTCATTTTAACCATTGATCTGCTTCGTTAGTTTTTCTTTTTAATATGGTTTTTTTTATTAATTTAAATAGAAGAGGGGAGAGGGAGAGCTAGAAACATCAGTGATGAGAGAGAATCATTGATTAGCTGCCTCCTGCACATTCACTTGCCAACCCCCCTACTGGGGATCGATCCCACAGCCCGGGCATGCGCCCTGATCGGGAATTGAACCTCTTGGTTTATGGGTCAATGCTCAATCACTGAGCCACACCACCCAGGCTACCTGATTAGTGTGAATGCCTGCATTGGCCAGTTGCTGTTTATATAGTAATGCAATGCTTAAAGGGGCCGTGATATGGGAGTGATGCCTTGGGCTTTACAGCAACCCTCACATGCATCCCCCGGCAGCCAGGCGGCCCTGCTGGCCCTGCCTGCACTGCATGCATCGAATGGTGGCAACGCTACCGCTTCATCTGTTCCTGGTGTTGCTGTTGCCAACCAACAGTTCCACGTTGGCAGAGCTTTCACCTCAGTGTGGAGCAGATTAGTAGAATTTTTTATTGTATTTTCCCCTAGTTGTCTTATAAAAAACAAGGAAAAATGGGAAAGTAAATGTGATATTAGTGATAGGAAATGCCGGCCTCAAACAGTACAGCTGCAACTAAGATAGGCATCATTACCCCTGGCAAAGGGGTAAATCTCACCTGTCGCTCACAGGCTTGTTGGACTGTAAGCAGTGGCTTCCATGTTCAATGCCAATGCAGAAATGCTATAAAATTAGGTCTAAAATACAAGGTGAATGAGTGACTTTATTGTATGGAAGTCCTTGTTTTGGATTTTTGGTCATTTCAAAAGTGACCTATTTGTGTGTGTGTGTGTGTGTGTGTGTGTGTGTGTGTGTTCACGCACACACCCCATTATAGGCGATCTTGAAAGTAGACATCTTCTCTCACTGGGGCAAACATCCAGGACTTGAAGGAGGATGACTGAGTTGTCTCATCTGTGATGAGGAGTTCTGTCAGGTTCCCCTTGACCTACAGCAGCTATGAGATGGTAAGCAAAACATTTTAAAGTCAGTCTTTGTCCAAGAAGGGCCCGTGGGACCGTGTGTGGGGAACTAACTCACCGTGGCCCACAGGGCCCTGCGTAGAGTGCTCCTCTCTCGCCCGCCATCTTGCCTTCACTCATCAGGATCTGGATTTGTCTCCCTTTGGAAAGTCGGCTCCATGAGGGACGCTGGGCTTTCCTGGTCAGTGCTGAACCTCTGTGCCTAGAGCAGTTGTGTGTGCATGAATGGGAGGCTATAGGTGCAGATAGAACCCCTCCCGACACAGCCCGTCCAGAGGCAGGAACTTCCTAGTTATTAGTTGTTGTCCATGACTCTCAGCCCTCTGACCCTACCTGGCCCCAGCCTGAACTTCCACTGAGCCTAGATTTTTTTTTTTTATTTGCTCATCAATTTTTATTTTTTATTTTTTTTAAATCAATCTTTATTGTTCATATTATTACAAAGGTTCCTCATTACTTCCCCCCTCCACCAGGTTCCCACCCCACCCTCCATCCCCTCCCCATCCCCCATTGTCCTCATCCATAGGTGCACAGTCCATGTTCAGTCTCTTCTTCCCTCCCTTTCCCCAATAATAAATCCCTTTTCAGATAGTAAATCAGTTACTTAGCATTTTCTCATATCAATAATACCTCCACATGCCCAATGATACACTTCACACAAAGGACATTTCCCAATAGGTCCACCAGCCTCATCCACGCCCCACCCAAGGCACCCATAGATCAACACCCCAGCCCTATACTAACTCAACACATCCAGATCTAAGCCTTCATCACTTGATTCAGGAAACTCTCAAGTTCCCACGAAAGTTTCCAGCCATGTCTGAGAGGCAGCCGTGGGGCAGGGGCAGGCGAGGAGCGAGCTGTTCCGGGCCTGGCTGCTCAAGGCCTGGCCTCTGTTGCTCTGGTTCATTCCACAACCAGCTGCTCCGGGTCTGGTCACTGCCACTCCTGACCAAGTTGCTCTGGACTTGGCTGCTGCTGCTCCGGGCCTGGCCGCTCCCAACCTGGCAGCTGCTGCTCCGGACCTGGCCGCACCCATCCCGGCTGCTCTGGGCCTGGCCGCTCCCAGCCTGGCAGCCGCTGCTCCGGGCCTGGCCGCACCCGACCCGGCTGCTCCCCCGGGCCTGGCCGCTGAGCCTAGATTTTTGAGAAAAGGCCCCTACCTTCCCCCATTTCCCCCTGTGGCCAGGTGTGGCCTTGGATTTGAGCCTTTCCAATTGAAGTCAAGGTCACAAGGACCTATGGCTTCATCCCTTCATCCACTTCCCAAGGCAGAATATCCCAAGCATAATACCCAACTTGAAAACACAACTCATTCCCTCACACACAGTTATTGGGTGTGGAAGATTGAGTGACCAGCATAGAGCAGACATTCAGTGGGGACATACAAAGTCAATTAAAGACTAAATGGGCACAATGGTTTCAGGTGGTGAAAAATGCCTTAAAGAAAATAAAACAAGGTGTTCTGATAAAGGTGATGGACAGAAAAGGCCTTCTCTGGAGACTTGACTGGTGGGAAAAAGAACAAGTAGAGGGAACAGC